AGCTGCTGGAGGGTGTTATGGATGAGGACATGCCTTCGGAGGCTCGGTGCTCGGGGGCCGAGGCTTCGCTGAACTTTGTCCAGGGAAATTCGGAGCAGGGCTTGCTGGTAGCTTCGAAGGCCTGCTGGACCCCAGTCCCACTTCTCCTCCTCTTCTTCCTCCAAGTCGGAGTGTTTCCTCTTCAAGCCTCCTACCATGGTGCCCTGTGGAAAGAAGGGAGGGGCCAGTCAGACACAGTAGGGCTAGTAGTTCAAACCCTGAATCTCCTGCATGGTTGTTGATTTTTAATGATCTGAACTTCAGTTTTTGCATCTACAAAATAAATGGAGATGGTAGGAATCCCATTTCGTATGTGACTAAGAAAAATAAGACCTGGGCATAGCTGGGTTTGAATCCCACTTACTTGCCTGGGTCGCCCAGAATAGTGAGTTTTCCTTCTTGAAATGCAATTTCCTCATTTGCAAGATGAGTATCCCAACTCAAGTCCCTTTGAGCCTTAAAGCTATTCTTTCCACAGTACTCATTAAAAAAAAATTACTGATTGATTTTAGAGAGGAAGGGGGAGTGGGAGAGAGAAACATTGGTTTGTTGTTCCACTTATTTAAGCGTTCAAACCTTCAATTCAACCTTGGTGTATGGGGGTGACGCTCTAACCCACTGAGCTACCCGGTCAGGGCTTCTACAACACTCATTTCTCCAAATGTGACACATACAAGACAGGTGTGGAACACAGAGACCTAGACTGGAGGCAGGGAACCCTCGGCTTGAATTCTGCCTTTCACACCGCTCACCTGTGTGATTTTGGGACGTGATGTGACATGACCTCTCTGGGCATCAGTTTCCTCACCTATGAAATGGGGATTGTAAAAATTCTCACCACATCGTCAAGGAGACCCCACGTGTGATATGCACAGGGCTCACCACACAGGAAATGCTCACTGAACAAGAGTTAGTTGGCATTTATTAATTCAATAATTTTACTTATTGCGTGCCTACTATATTCAAGCCACCGGGAGCCCTGTTTGGGCACCTCACCTATTTGTCAAGACTCTTCTTTCAGAGTCTATTTCTGTCCACGCTGTTCTCCTAACTGACTGAGCGCTCCCAACGGGAGAGAAGGCGCCTTCCTCCTTCCCTCCGCCCCCGCCTTACGCTTCCCCCTCCGTGAGGCCCCGTAGAAAAACTTGCTAGAACTCGACTCACGCCAAGCCCCACCCCTCCCGACCTACCCAACCAGACCTCGGTCCTGTGCAGGCCCCGCCCCCTTCCCGGAGCGCCCTTCAGCAGCCAGCCACGCCCCATCGTGGTCCTAGGGCTTCTGGGAAATGTGGGCCAATAGCCGCGAGGTACACACGTAGACTCGAGCGTGCACTGCCATCCCCAGGGAGCTCCGCACGCCACAGGAAGAACCGCCCCCACCCTCCCCAGGGCATGCGCACTGACGCCCGGAGCGGGTGGGGGAGGGGAACCCGGACGTTCAGCTGCCCGGCGCCTGCAGGGCCCCGCCCTCCGCTGCCTCCAGGGCTGCGGGTCAGAGCTCCGCGCCCGGAACACCCCTCCCCCCACCCAGGCTGCAGCTCTAACACCGCTTTCTCCCGATTTTTCCGACCCCAGAAGGCCCTGGAGTCTTCCCCCAAACTGCTCTCGTGTCCAGGGACCCAGGCGCCAACACATCGTTCAAAGACTACAAATGCTCTCCCATCCACTCCGTTTGGGACACTAGGTCTCTCAATTTTGAGACCTTTCGCCTATTCTCCTGTCTTTCAAACAAACTCTCCACTTCACCTCCAGGCCCCCCTCGCCCCCCGGCTCCAAGACCTGAACATAGGACTCTCCCCAGCACCCTCTCTCCGCCACTGCGTCTGGGAAACCAAGACGGCTTGCCCCTGGTTCTCTCGCTTCTCCAAGTGCCCGGGATCCCAGCCCCAACCCCTCCCACCTTCTCCAGAACACCAGACCCTCGAATTCAACCCGTCAGGGAGCCCCGAACTGTCCCAATCTCCAGATTCCCTGCCCCAAAAGTTCCTTCCCTGGTTCTCTCGCTTCTCCAAATACCGCAGGTCCCAGCTTCAAACTCCCTCCACTTGAAGATCCTGCCGCAGCAACTTCGCCTCCAGTCCAAGATTTCGAATTCAGCCTCCGATGCCCAAACCCTATCAGTCACTCTGAATCTGCGCTCCCCACTCCCACCCAGAGTCCGCCTCCACAACTCTCGGGGTGCGCCTCCCCCTCCCCCAACCCAAGGCAGGTCTCCGGCCGGGCAGCCGCCCCTCACCTCGGCTGCCAGGTTCACTGCTGGCACACCCGCAGCTTCGCGACCCTCCAGCGGTGGGCAGGGGCCTCGCTCGCCGCCCGGGGGCCTCTCGCTCTGGCCTCGGGCTCACCCAGCTCCGCCCCGAGCCGGGCCGCGAGCCGTGATTGGCTGGAATCCTGCCCGCCGCGGGCGCGGACTGGCTGGGCGGAGCCAACCCTGTCACCGGGAGACGGACGGCCCGCCCTCCCTGCCCCGGCGCCCGAGACCTTTTAAAGAATTCCGACTGCCCGGGGGCGGGGCCGCGGCTGCAGGGGGGCGGGGGGCGGGTGGCGGGGACATCGGAACCGCTTCCTTCACTTCAGCGGCGGTCCTCGCTCGCACGTCGTCAGCACTGCTCGCCGAAGCCCCTCACACCAGGCCGGGGCCGCGCAGACCAGGACCGGCTGCCGCGCCGCCTCGCTCCGCTTCCCGGGAGGGCGGGGCTGAGCCACCAGCCGAGGCCGCGAACCGGAGTCCGAGGTCGGGCGCTGCGGGGAGGATACGCCGCCGAAGGCCGGCCAATGGTTTCGCGCGGCGTACGTTGCCTGGGCGATCGCAGCCCCCCTTTCGCTCCCCCTGTCCTCCTGCCCCTCTCCGCACGTCACCTCTCCACCCCTCACTCCGGGACCCTTCAGCGGGGCTCCCGGCGGTCGTCCGTCCCCGTCCCCCTGACGCCCGTCCTGCCTCTCCCCGGATGGCACCTGCGCTGGGAAGACGGGTTCGCGGCTCCCCGCTATCCGGGGTACAGAGTCCAAACTGCTCACTTTCGCCACAAAGCCCTTCACGGTCTGGCCCGGGGCACACTCCTTGCTCCCTACCTTCCTGCCACACCAGTTCGGTTTTGAATCGGCTTCCGGTCCCTCCACCGCCATGGACACAGAGATTTTGCCTGTTTCTTTCCTTTATCCCCAGTGCCTACAGCAATGACAGCTACATAGCAAGTACTCAAAGGGGAGAATTAAAGGGGGTCAAATATATGGTAAGGGATGGAAGCTAGACTTTTGATGATGAGCACACCAGACAGGATACAGATATTGAATTGTAATGTTGTACACCTGAAATTTACATAATGGAATAACCAGTTACCTCAATAAAAATTAACTTTAAAAAGATTTCTGGATAAATCAATAAAAAAGAATGAAAGAACATTTGTAATTCTTTCAACAATAAAGATACATTTTTTAAAAAAAGAATTGAAAAGAAAAAGGTTTCTGGACCTTTCAACTTGTTTCCCATTCTGAAAATAGACCCTCAACTCCCAGGCTGCCTCTCATCAGAAATCATGTCAAAGGTTTCCTCTTCCTGGAAGCCCTCCCTGACGCTCCAGGGTGGATTGATTCTCACGGTATCCTGTTTTCCCCATTGAAACCCTCATCCTTTCCCTGGGCTGTCACCATCGACTGTGGACTCCCTGAGGATGGGTACCAAGGTTATCTTGCTCACCAACGGTATGGTCACAGCAACACCTAGCAGAGGGCTGGACACAAGCAGGCATCCAGTGGAAGTTTGTTAAATGCCCAGACAATGTGGCAGAATGAAATAGAGGGCAGGAATGCAGAGTGCCAGCGCCCAGAAAGTTTGAACAAGTAGTGCACTCCCTTCCCCCCAACACACATTTCACCAAGAGGAGGGGGGGCAGTTTCCTCCAGGCTACCCCACACCAGTTCTCTCTGGTTGGAATTTGACAACCAAGTCATCCTGCTGTCTGCAGACACAGTGTAAGACTGGAGTGGATTTTGTGAGTGATGGAGGTGGGGGTGAGGTGTTGCGTGGGAGCTGGGAAGAGGCTGGAGGTAGGAAGAGAGGAGCAGCTCTCACTCGGGCCTGGGAAAGGTGTCTCTGGGGAACAAAGGCAGGGACAGTAGATTCCATGGGGACATGATTAAGAAGGGACAATTCTTCCCCCTCCCAAACCTGCCCATCCTCCAGGATCCTCATCTCAGGGAGGCCCCATTGTAACCTGGTCCCCAGGGTACAGCCCTGTGTCCTCCAGGTTGCCACCTTTCCCTCCCTCATGGCCGGTCCACTCAGGCTCTGCCCACTCTCTTCCCCTCGAGGTTTCTGCCTGGTCCCCCTGGGCTCCCAGCTTCCACTCTTGTCCCCCTCCCACCCACCTTCACACAGAGCCAAGGGAAGCTTTATAAAACCCAAACCTGACTGTTCCTCCTCCCTACGTCTCCCCTGTTCCAGTCCTTGCATAACAGGATATAGCTTAAACTTTTTACAATGACTCTGCACAATTTAGCATCCATGGAACAGCCTGTTGGGCTGACCGCTCCTCACCGCTGAGAAAAGTATTATTAACTGTAGCTCCTGGTCTGCTCACCAGCCTCCTTCCCTTTGCTCATGTGGTTCCTTCTGCCCAGAAGCCGTCACGCCTTAGAACCTTCTCCTGGCTCATTCCTACCAAACCGGGTTTCAGGCAGGACCTCCCCTCTTCAACAGAGCTCCCCACGTTAGGTCACGTATCCCCTCTGGGTTCCCACAGCCCACTGTGCTTCCTCCATCAGAGCCCTGGCCACTGTGGGCTGTCACTTCAGACTGAGATATGTGAAGGCAAAGCTCACAGCTATCTCGGTCACCACCGGGTCCTCACGGTCCCCACTAGGTCCCCACACAGGGCCGGGTGCAGAACAGTAAACCGCAACTGAGGAAATGAAGGGATACCCAGAGAATCTTACACACAAGGCAGACAGAGACACTGAGATACCCAAAGCCAGAGTTGGAACTTCTAGCATAATCTGAAGCTCTTGGCTCAAGCTTTATTGCTGCCTTCCTTGGTTCCACATTCTCCAGGACGCTGTCCTCTGGACAGGGACAGAGCCCTAGTCATACTGGTGGGAAGGGTAGGTTCTGTGCCCATCATACTCGTCGGTGGTGAGGCAGCGCAGCATGAAGTGGCCTAGGTCATGTTTGGAGATGACCCTTGAGGGCCCTCGTCCATCCAGGGTCACTGTGTAGGCCCCAGTCAGTGGCTGGTCTCCTGCAACATAAAGATAGAGGGGCAAGTGAAGATGTTCTCTCTTGGTTCCCCAACATGTGGTCACTACAGTGATGGCCTCAGGGGGCCCACAGTGTGCCCCGCCATAATGGCATTAAGAGCCATGTTATGTGAAACCCTTCTCACGCGCAGAGCACTAATCTATACCCTTTAATTAATTAATCCGACAAATTCTGATGACCTATTATGTGTCAGGTGCTGGGTACCCAGCAAGGGACAAAACAGAAATTCCTGCTGTCAGCATGTAGACACTTGCTAGCTAAAGACAACTAATAAGAAAGTACAATACACAGTATGTTAGATGGGGAGAAATACAGCAGAGAATGGGCTAGGAACTATTTATTAATTCTATTTTATAAATGGGGACATTGAATCTTGGAGAGAGAAAGTCACTTTCAAGTGGCAAAGGCTAGATTTGCCCTGGATGTCTCCATCTGGATGCTTTCCTATCTCTGGACCCCTCTGGAAGGACTGAGTTACATGTCCCAGGCATGGGACTGTATTTTATAGGCAGTGGAAGAACACATTTTTCTGACTTTGTGAATATGGAGTCAGTGTCCTGATACCAGGGGTACAACTAGGTCTTTCTTAGACAGTGGAGACAGCAGACAGGCATGACCTGGCAATTACAGGGCATCTAGTGGCTGCATGATAATAATTAAAAAAAACACCTGCCAGTGACCAACTTAATTTAGGGATCAAAGGCAGCGTAGCAGTACAGGGACAACCTGGAATCATGTACACTAAGAAACACACACCCTTCCCCTCATGGCATTCCTACCAAAAACGTTTAATTTGCATCTGTGAGAACATAACCAGAAATCCAGAACATGGGGCACTTAAAAAGACACCAGGCCTGGTTCATGTTACAAGAAACATTAAAAAAAAAGATATGAAGGACTGTTTCACATTTAAGATAACATAGCAACTAATCACAATGAGTGAGCCTCAATTGGACCCTGATTTCGGGGGGGGGGGAGATTAGAAGATATTTTTTGACAATTGGGGAAATTTGAATATGACATAGATACTAAGTGGTATGCTAGAGTTCATGTTAATTTTCTTGGTTCAATAATGGTCCTTTGGCTTATACACAAATATTTTTCTTCTTGGGAGATGTCGATTGAGGTTCTAGGAGTGAAGTGTGACAATGTCTGCAACTTACTCTTAAATGGTTCAGTCAAAAATACTATTATATGTGTGCGTGTGTGTGTATAACATTAGATACATGTGTAGATAATTGATAGCCAGTTAGATATAGAAAAATAGGGCAAAATGCAAACAAGGCAAAATGTTAAAAGCTGAACCTAAATAAAGAATTTTAATATTCAGAAACATTTAATTCCTTCAACTTTTCTGGAGGTTTCAAAGTTTTACATGCACACATACAAAAAACTTTGAAAAGTACTCTGTGTTAAAATAACTTTTAGGCATGATCTCTCTGGGTACTTACTTTAAACCTAGCAGGTCAAGAAGTAATATGAGCCCTGTCTACAGATGAGGAATCTGAGACTCAGAGGCCAAGGGCTGGAGTTTTCACCCAGATTCTCCACTAGGCAGCTTCTCCGCTGATTCAAAGCTCAGGACCTTGGTATCTATAGGGTCCTGATACAATCCCTTAATTGAATGTAAACACTGAACCTTACTTGACCCTCTAGGGCAGCGGTTCTCAACCTGTGGGTCGCGACCCCTTTGGGGGTCGAACGACCCTTTCACAGGGGTCGCCTAAGACCATCGGAAAACACATTTATAATTACATATTGTTTTTGTGATTAATCACTATGCTTTAATTATGTTCAATTTGTAATAATGAAAATACATCCTGCATACCAGATATTTACATTACGATTCATAACAGTAGCAAAATTACAGTTATGAAGGAGCAACGAAAATAATTTTATGGTTGAGGGTCACCACAACATGAGGAACTGTATTAAAGGGTCGTGGCGTTAGGAAGGTTGAGAACCACTGCTCTAGGGTATGTCATTCCTCACTCCTGTCAGGGGCCCCAGAAAGCAGGGCGTGAAGCAGAACTATTCCTCCAGGTCAGGCCTTTGGGTCTTTTCATTGCTGTTCCCTTATCCCAGTCCTCTCTCCTTCAATGCATGAAGCCACCTCCTTAGAGAGCCTATGCTTCCTAAATGGCAACCATTACTACTCCCTTCACTGTGTTTGTTTCTTCACTCACTGTAGCACTGCCCGCCAGTAATATCCAGCTCTTACGTGGCCTGAGAGAGACATTTTGAGCCTAAAGCAACTGGAAGGCAGCTGTGATCCCCTGCGGGGTTTTATCTCCCCCACTAGAAATGTTAGCCTCATGAGAGCAGAGGCTCTATTGCCAGTGCTCGTAATGGTGGCCAGGGCCACAGTTCAAGTGCAAGAGGTATCCGTTGAATGAACGGCTCTCTCCCTGTGTCTGACTCTGTCTCTCAGTGTGGACTCCAGACCCAGTAGGGGGAAAGAGGGCACAGGTGCAGTTTACTGGGTTCCCTTCACAACACCATCATGAGAGGAGTTCCCCTGTATTAGTTCACCCAACAAATATTTACTGGCATCTACTATATGCCAGGGCCCTGATCTAGGCACTAGGAACACAGCTGTGATCTAACCAAGACAGATCCGTTCCTCCAAACAGTGACCACCCTAGTGAGGGAGA